CATTTTATAACTCATAAGTTATAAAATCAAATCAAAATCAAACGTATTGATTTTCTTTGCCATCTTGTTGTATCTTGGTTGTTCATCACTTTGATGATTTTCCACTCACACATATTTTAACTTGGTTGTTCATCACTTTGATGATTTACCACTCACACATTTATAAGTTCTTTTACTATGAACTTATTTATTTTCTTATTTTACACGAAACCACAATATAATCATCAATTTGCATCAAGAGTGACTATCTCGTGCACAATCATTATAAATATATTCATTATTTATTCACTTGACTATACTAGGCCTTATACTAACTTAGGTATTTTTTTTTTACCTTGGCCTAAACACTCCCCCACATTTCTAAATATATATGTGGTTAGCTCGGAATATTTAATTTATGTGGTTAGGGCCTAAAGATCCCCACATTTCTAAATATTAACGTGGTAGCTCGGGATATCTAATCCCCCCCACAAATTCTAGAGTATGTATTCTAGAATTTATCAATATAATATCCATAAACTTTTTCCAAAAGTTTTAGTTCTCATTTTTTAATTCATTTGTCAAAGTTCGCACTTTCCAACTTTCATTCACATAGCATTTAAATGCTTTGAAATCCTTATTTTTATTTTATTAATAAAAATACACAATGTAACAAAATACATTTCTTCTTTAGTTAGAAAAATATTTTGGATCACCAATATAATTTAATTACAAAGTATTGTATTTCTTTCTCTCAAAAAAGCACAAAAAGAAAAATCTTCCCAAGATACTTAAATCTTGTAAACAATTAAGATAATAAGATTTCTTCATTTTCCTCAAAAGAGAAAACTCGACAAGATACTTAAATCTTGTCAATGAACAAGAGAATATTAATCTCTCCAAATGGTGGTTGATCTCCACAATTCAATATTAAAGTTAGAATATACAAATTCTAATCTTAATCGTTCATAATTTAGGATTGTATGTCCTAAACATGCCGTTCAAAATTCAGCCAAATCCAACGATTTAATTCTACAAAACGAGCTCTTAACTGCTCGAATTTTCTTTCAACAAAACATCCATTGTTGTTTACAACTATTTCGGATCTTTGAAAATCAAAATCCGATCTCATCCATTCACATTGTAGATCATCATCTTACAAATGTGATATCAAATCATATCGAACCAACGATTCGATCTTCTTTTATGTTCTTGAGACAAGAACTACTCATGTGCTCTCATGAATTGAGCTTCTCTTTCTTTATATTTCATTTCAATCATGCTTTTAATTGTACTGTAGTATGATTCATATATAAAACATATGTACATCAATACTATAATAAACATAATATGTGACCGCAACTTTCATACTAGTTGATCATAGAAATAAACAATACTAGTTGATCATAGACATAAACAATAGATCAAGCATACTTTATCAACATATACATAGTATACACACATGAGTACATAATAACATCGTGTTTGGTTATTATTTCACGGCATAAATTAATTCATGTCCATCATAGTTGATTTATATAAATATATAGCACGTAATCAATATGTGTCCAAGAAATTACAAAATTCTAATGAATTGGTATGGCTTACGGAAATAATAATATGTATAATAATATTCCTCTTACTAAGTAACTCATACTTAATATACGAGACAAGTCTAATCGTTCATAGACAATAACAAAAACGTTAATAAGATCACGTACTCGCAAATTTCATATAACATATTCGAAAATCAATCAATTGGACGGTTGTATTTTTCATGAAAAGGTGCATTGGCAGTTCTGACACCCTTTCGTATTTTCATCATAACTCCTCCATACGATCTCCGATTGTGATGATTTAACATGTTCTGGAAAGACAACTAACTTGATTATCTACAACTTCTGTGAAATGTTAATTTTCCATATTCGAACTTTAACAGCTTCGAAAATGCGAAAGAACGTGGACTTCATATTCTGTCTGAAAATGAATTTTTTCTTCCAATTTGATTTTGTAACTTCTTGATTTTTGGCAAACTATCTTCTTCTCTATCCCGTTTACCAATGTGTGCAGAAAACACAATTTACTAAATCTCACAAGGATATTGTCTTAAGATTGTTGTTCCCGGTATATAAAACGGGTAGTGAATTTAGTAAAATGGTCGAACAAATTAATTAGTGAAAATACGAAAAGATTAGCCGAGGGGAGAATACTCTTTCCTTAAGACAATATTTCCCCGCTACGGTGCTTACGGTGATTTGGCAATGGTCTCCCAAGATACAACGGCTAACTCGGCATATGAGCACTCAAAATCCCGAGTACAACGAACGTTACTTTGTGTCTCAAACTCTCGAATCGAATACGGAAGAAAATATTTTACGAAGAATATTTTCGGGCTAAAGAAAGAAGAATTCCATAGAACAAAATTATGGAATTGATCAATTGAGTTTTTATGTTGTTATCAAATCAAACATGTGGAGTTTCTATTTATACGTTTCCAATGGTTGTGATTAATGAACACAACCCTCAAGAAATTAAACAAGTGAAGAGGTGTGGCCACACATCTTCATATTGTCACAGTTATTTGATCAAATAGGTGCCTAAAATATATTTTTAATTTAATTTTCATTCAAAAAATAATTTTATTTTATTAAATAAAATTCCCAACAGAGCATCCACAGCGGTACTCCGTAGAATCCCTCCCTAAACTGTGGACCCCACATGCCACCTATGCATTTTTACTCCTCTCTAAACTATGGACCCCACTTAAGAACTCCCCAAATTTCAAAATGCTCCAATAGGTGGTTTTGTGCATCATTAGAATGGCTTCCTAAATAGTAAATATTAATAAAAAAATCATTATAATATAATAATTATGAAATTATATTTTTAATTCTTTTATATGTAATTAGTAAAATATATTTATGAAATTATATTTATATATTTTTATTTAATTATATTTATTATTTTAATTCTATAAAGATATAAATAATATTTAAAAGATTCAAAAAATTTAGGTATAACATAAATATTAATTAGCCAAAAAAATACAAATGAGTTGAAATAAGATTATTAATTTGATGAATACTATTTTAGAAATGATAAAATTATCTATTTATGAAAATAATAAAAACAATTTAAATTTACGAGTTAATTGTTTTTTTTATTACAATAAGGCTAATTAAGTATAAATAAATGGAAGTAATTAGTAATTTTTATTTAAACAATTATTAAATGGTACATTATTTCGCTAATTTACATACTGTAAAATAAAACTAAAAATAAGCAAAAAAGGTAATAATTTGAAGAATAAAAATTAAATAAAACAAAACCAGACCCCACAATGTTTGTTAATGCACTCCTATCTGTGGGGAGTTAGTTAGCATTTCTCAGGATTTAGGGAGTAATGAAGAGGCCTAAAGTTTCCCACTATAGGAGCTTTTCCTCTCCAAATTTAAAGATTGCCTAAAATCTGACACAAACAATACATTTAAAGAGCACATTGTGGATGCTCTAAGAGCATTATCCACATGGACTCGTTAAAGGGGTTGTGAGTAGAATTTTTTTTTGCTCTTTATCCCTCTCAAAAGTTGGAGGGTGCCCAAACTCCTCTTCACAGTTATAGAGTCATTTAGCCAGCATTTGTAGGCCCATGTGTTCCATTGTTATTCTTTATTATTTTTTTTCTTTTGATTATTATTATTTGAAGGTTTCATTAGCCTCTCTATATTATTTATGTAAAATATTTTAAATATAATTAAGTTAAAAAAATTGCAATGTTGTAATAAAATTACATTATTTTTTATGATTCCGTGAAAATAATTGATATTACATTCATTTACTAATTAAAAATAAAATTAGAATGTACTATGAGTTTTTTTAGAATATTTTATTATACTACAGAATATTACAAATTGTAATTAATAGATAAAAGTTCTTCTTAAAAAAAACATAAAAATAAATAATCGATAAAATTAATTTCCACGCATTCTCGTAAATTTTGTTTATGTCTATAGTTGGAGGGATGTTCCAACATTTTTATGCTATCATATTCTATGTTTTTAATATTTATGTTATTTTTAAATAATTCATAAATTTTAATAATTAATACATTGTATATGAAAATACACAAAATAAATAAACTAGTGAAACTCACAACATAACTAAACATTATAAAATATTATAAATATTATAAGATAGCGTAATTTAAAAATTAAAGTAATCAAAGAATTATATCTGATTTATTAATTAAATATATGAATTTTAAATAATTATTTTTTCAATTTTTATGTTAATAATGAATATTTTATTATAATTTTATATTTATAGAGCTATTTTAGAGATGATCAAAATGTACACATTGGAGTAAAAAATATTTTGGAGAGTGTATAAGTGGGACCCATTTTTATTGAGTAGTTAAAGGAGGATGAATGTGAGTATGTGATATGTGGGTCCCATGGTTTGGAGAGTGGATTTAGAGAGCACCATTGTGGATGCCCTAAGGCTAAGAGCATGTACATTGGAGCTCTCCAGAAAACATGTTCAAACGGTGGGCTCCACATGGCACATACTCATTTTTATTCACTTTAACTCCTATGTAAAAATGGGTCCCACATTTATTATTCTCTAAATTTTTTTTTTTTTTTTTTGGCCAAAAGATTTTATTATTCCATTATGATAAAAGATGGGGCCTCGTTAAAACCTTGTGGGCCTATACAAGGAAAAAGAGTACCCCTACAATGGTAATAAAAAATTAGAAGCTACCCTATCGAAGCTATTACAAGAAAGCCCCTAAGCGGGGTAAAAATGACAACCTCCAAGGCTAGAACTATTAAAATTGCAAAAGTGCCCCTTGGTGGAGGTAAACATGTAGCTTCGCTTACTCATCCAGCAAACTCCCAAAGCCAAATCCTGAAATTGCATATTAACCCCAACTCTAGAGTTGGTAATTGCAGATTGCACCCTAGGAGATAGAGATGCAATATATGCCCAACTCCACTTCCAAAACCAACTGTAGAAGAAAGTCATGGACGAAAATTGGCGACTCCCAACTTATCACTTATATATGCAGCCCGGGCCTCCCTCGGTAAACTCATTTCAGAGAAATATTCTTGATTTGACTTATGAGAATACGCCCAATTAGCCAATCTATCCGCGACCGTGTTTTTTTGCCTCACGACGTGCTGGAACGAGAAGGAAGGCTCTATCTCCTTCAAGCATTGCCGAAAAATATACTCAAGCTCCCATGCAATGTGCTTGGTCCGAATTGCATTGATGACCAGCAAGGAATCACTTTCCACTATAATTTGTGAGAGACCGAGAAGCTTGCACAATCTAAGGCCATGAACCACCGCCGAAAATTCCGCAAAGTTATTGGTGCCAACCCCAAAATATCTTGAAAAACTAGCAACTATTCCACCTTCCGAATCCCTAACAATCCCACCGCCCGTACATTCCTCCGCCGTGGAAGAGCCATCAGTATTAAGTTTAAAAGTACCACCCTTGGGCCGCTCCCATTTGAACCATTTTCCACGCTTATAGCTAGGCTGCACTAAACAGACTCCAATGGCTTGAAGTTGGAGACTTTGAAGCTTCGTAGACGGCTGTCGAGGAACATGATTGATGACCACGTGCTGAATGTGAGAGAAAACTCGACGAATAATATTTTCTCTATGCATGGCTCCCCCATCATAAACAACTTTGCATCGAGCCACCCACAGCTCACGAAGAATATGACACACAGTAGAGGTTCGAACCATTGTGTACTGCGATTGTATTTGTGGTTTGGGGACCCATACAACAAGAGCATGCTTCGCCGACACAAACTGCGATGGGAGATGAAATAGCAGGCTAAAGTGCTGCCATACTTGCCCCGCCACTTCCGATTGGAAAAAAAGATGTTGGACGTCTTCTTGGTGAGGATTTTTACAGCAAACACATCTGGAAACCATCGGAATTCCTCTAGAGATAATTCGTTGATCAACGGGGAGCGCGTGATGTATCAATTTCCACATGAATCCACATGTCTTGTGTGGCAAGAACTGGTGCCATATGCGATTTGTCCACGCCTCTCGTCGCCCCAAAACCCGAATATGTCTCCAGTACTCTTTAGTCGAGAAATCCCCAGATTGTGTAAGAGTGAATATCAACCGATCCGGCTGATCAGGATCCAACGTAACTTTCCTTACCGACTCATGCAGGGAAGGAGGAATTAATTTAAGATATTCCGAGAGATGTTGCATGGCGGTTGCAACAGTTAAAGTGTGGTCACTTGGAAGAGGCCCAACAAGCACTTCACCAACCCAATTATCTGCCCAAAATCTTATATCTCCGGAACCCACATTCCACTTGGAACACTCGGCAAGTGAATCACTATGACTATATATCGACCTCCATAAAGGGGAGGTCGATTGGCCGCTACTGTTCCGACGTTTATCGCAATACTTGGCATTAGCGAACTTCGCCCACAAAGACTTTTTTTGCATAACCTGCCACAATAGCTTCCCATGCAAACACCACATCACCTGATTAAGGGGTCGGATACCCAAACCCCCATCTTCAACCGGAGTACAAATAGTTTTCCATTTCACCCAGTGAGTCCTCGAAGCACCGCCAGAACTCCATAAAAAGGCAGCCATTAATTGCTCGAGCCGAGTAATAACCGATATAGGCACCTTCGAACAAGCCAACGAGTAAATCGGGATGCTACTCAACACCGCCTTGAGTAACGTAATTTTACCAGCAAAAGAAAGGAATTTCCCTTTCCAGCCTTGAAGTTTACCTCGAATCTGAGTGACGAGATATTCGAAAAATTCCGCCTTAGTCCTACCGGAATAAATGGGAACCCCTAGATACTTGAGAGGGAGGGTTTTCCGACAGATCCCCGTAACTTGCTCAATATTGCTACTCTCCACTTCTGCCCATTTACCCACATAAAGATGGCTTTTAGTCACATTAACGAGCTGCCCCGAGGACCTTTCATACGAATGAAAAATCTCCATTAGCCGTTGTACAGAGTGGCGCCCTCCATTCGTAAATATGAGAATGTCGTCCGCATACAGTAGATGTGAAACCGAGAGTTCATTATGGCCAACCTTGTACTGGGAGATTTCCTTAGAATCAATTTTTTTTTAACGTTAATTGTTAATATCTGTTGGGCGAGAATAAATAAGAGAGGCGAGAGCGGATCCCCTTGACGAACCCCACGCGAAGATTTGAAATTGCCAACCATTTCCCCATTAATGCGAAAGGAGTACCATATATTGCATATATTTCTGTAAATTAGATCACATGATGCATGAGAGAAGCCAAAAGCACGCATTGCCCGAAGAAGAAAGCGCCACTCTAGACGATCATATGCTTTTGCCATGTCCAATTTAAAAATAACATTGCCGCCCTTACACTTTTGATTAATATCACGCGTCAATTCTTGAGCCATGACTATGTGCGACATAATATTACGATCTTTGACAAACCCTGCTTGCTCCTCTGAGATTAGAAACGGAAGAATTTTCCCCAGTCTAGTAGCAAGGATTTTAGACAAGAGTTTTCCGGAGAAATTACCGAGACTTATTGGCCTATAGTCACCAACGGTCCGAGCATTATCAATCTTAGGAATTAAAACCAAAGTGGTTAAATTCATCTCTTTAAGAATGTGACCCCCTCGGAAAAAGTCGATTATAAAATTCGACAGTTCCACTTTAATAATATCCCAGCAGGCGACATAGAAATGCCCGGTAAAACCGTCTCTGCCAGGGGAGCTATTCGGGTTCAACCCTTTAACCGCCTCAAGAATTTCTTCCATATCTGGGAGACAGCAAAAGGCTTCATTCACTACATCGGTTACTACAGGTTGAACCCCAAGAAATAGATTCTCGTCTAGTTCATACTCTGATGCCTTGAATAGATTGGAGAAGAAATCCTGTGCGAGAGCGCCAATTTCCTGGGGTTGAGTCGATGTGGAGCCATCACCACAAGTGACTTGGATAAGAGCTCTCTTTCGGCGATCTTTGATGGTCGCGTGAAATAGGGCAGTATTACGATCTCCGGATTTGTCCCAAGCCATACGGGCCTTTGAACTAAGCAGCTCTAACTCCCAGTCTTCGTACTGGACTAGCTGTTTTTTAGCCAAAGTAATGTTTTCCGAAATTAATTCACTCCAGCCTTGTTGCAATTCATTTCAAGAGATTCAATGCGAGCTTGGCAACACCGAATATTATTAGTAATATTTCCAAACACCTCCCAGTTCCACTGTTGGAGAGCTTTCTGAACGAAAATAAGCTTCTGTTGAAATACATAAAAAGGGGAACCATGAACTGGAATGGACCATGCATGAGAAACCATAGCTTGAAAAGTAGGGTGGTCAACCCACATACGTTGAAACGTAAACCCTTTCCCAGCCATCTGCTGGCCCTGTTCAAAACGAACACTAAGCGGCGCATGGTCGGACATTGTTCTCTCTAGATGAAGCACCTGCAGAGACGGAAATAATAATTGGAAATCGGAATTGATTAACACTCTGTCCAATCTCTTCCATATCCTATTAAGACCTGATCGATTATTACTCCACGTAAATGGGTTACCAATAAAACCTGCATCCAAAAGTTCGGCTTGCATAACAAAGTCCTGGAAATCATGCATGCGGGAAATATCGGCCAGACCCCCTTTTTTCTCCGAGGCATCCAAGATTGTATTAAAATCGCCACCCACTAGCCACGGCGTGCCCATAGTACCATTCAAATCATCAAGATGAGCCCAAAGGTCCTTTCTAGTTCGATGAGAGCAACTCGCATATACAAAAGTCGCCGTAAAAAGGGGTTTTTGCGGGATTTCTATAGACACCGTGATAGCTTGCGCAAAGATATTCAAACACTGAACATCAATCTCCGGTTTCCACAAAATCCAGATAAAAGTGTTGATATCATTCCCGTGCAAAAAAGAGGAAAAACCTAACTTCCAGGCAAAATTCTTCAATTTTGAGAAAGGTAATTTAGGCTCCAATATAACCAAAAGGGAAATCCGTTGTTGCTTGATAATAATTTTAAGATGATTCACCGTTCTCTAAATTAAAATTGCTCCAATGAATATTTTTTTTGCTCTCCAAATTATCTCTCCAAATATTAAATTATAATAAAATATGCACTATTGATATACAAATTTACAAAATTAAACTTTCTAAATTTGTATATTTAACTATTAGAGAATATTATATTATAGAAATCTCCTAATATTAGGATTCTAGTATGATTCGGTTACCTAGATTAGTTAGGATTTAGTTACCTAGTCAAACTCTATTACCTTACAATATTTCTCTATATATATTCCATGTAATCAACCCATAACACAATGGGGGTTTCTATTCTATTACGTATTATTATTATTTATCTCTTTCTCCTATTCTATTCTTCCTATATTAACTAATAAAAATTGATCTAATTAATTTGATTTTTAAATTTGACATAAATATAAAGTAAAATAGCCTTGATAAATGATCATTTATTATAATCAAAATTTAATTGTTACATATAATTAAACATTTTCGAAAAAATTAATGTTGAGTATAATAAATAAATACTTAGAACTCTAAAAAATAAAAGTTTGCTTCTTTAAAAGCCACAAAAGCAACTTCATTATAAGTAATAATCAAATGAATATAAATAAGCTGCAAAATTTAAAAAATGGACCAATATTTTTTATAGAATAAAAAGGAATAAAAAATGTATGAATCCCACCTTTTATTGCTTGAGGGCTCAAGGCCAGCGATTTAAAGACTGGTCAAAAGTAGCTAGGGCTATTGAGTGCCACGATCCTATTATTCACTCTCCAAAATTTGGAGAGTCTAAAAATCTGACACTAACGTGCTTTTAAGGAGTCCAATGTACATGGTCCAAGCTCTCTAGTATTCAATAAATATGCTCTTTGTTTAACAATATAACAGGTAAAAAAATATTAGGCATATAACATCACTTATTAACTTAACTAAGCTCTCTTACTTAATAATAACGCTCTATTACTTAACAAAACACATGACTAAAAATAATGAATAAGCTATCTCACAAGCAATATAGATTTCTCAAAAGCAATATAGGCTTACACGAATTGCACTATGTTCATATCCTCGCACATGATAAACACACGTCAAACCGCTATACAGAACATAAAAACTATACATAAATAAATCAACTAAGACTTCTTCATTCTCGACTATGAAAAAATCAACTAAACAACATGTACATAAAACAAATGAACAAAAACACATGATTAAAAAAAAAAACCAAAAAAAAAAAAACAAAATAAAACAAAACAAAAAAACTAGTAGGCTACGCAAAAACTTAAATTCAATTTACAAAAAGAAAATGAGAAAGTTCAATTGCTTACACGAATCACACTCTGTGTTGTTTTCCTCTCACCACAAAAGTGGATAAACAATGGACGAAATCGAACCAGCAACTCACAACTCCAACGTTAAATAATCATATATGGGTAAGTGTGTGAGGCATAGTGTTTAATAGCAAAAGGGTATTTATGTCAATTAAATCATTTTTCGCTGAGTTAAAACAAGCAAAAGACTTTAAGCAAATAGCAAATATCAGTCTTTAACCTAAATAAAATAATTTTGAGTTAGGAGAAGCTAATTTCCCATTGCCCGAAAGTTCTCTTGGTTGATTCTTCTCCTAGATTTAATCCAATGGCCGAAGCTTGTTCTTGAATTGAAAGCTTGATTCCTTCCTTGATTTGGGGAAGTAGATATGGATATGTAGAAATCGATTTGGAGATTTCTAGGTCTTTGTGGATATGGCGCCTTGATGAAGATGTGGGTGGATATGGCGCCTTGATGAAGATGTGGAACCTCCGCGGTTGTTGTGTTCTTCATCGTGGCAAAAGCTCGAGACTTGAGAGATTTTGAATGCTTGATGTACGCCTTGCTTGATGCTTGTGTCCTTGTGTATGTGTGTGAGTTTGATACCTCCTTTTATAGGTTCGATTTAGGGTTTCTTGACTTGAAACTTGGGCCGGTGGACTTGGACACTTGCAAAGTCATGTGGGCTAGCTTTTATAAGCCCGAATGACTAACCCGAATAAATAAGAATTTAGTGTTTATTTTGGGTTAACTCGCATAACACATTTGTGAAGCCCAAATATAGTGTGGACTTCGGCATAAAACCCAAATTCATCACGGGCTTTGATTTGAGATCGAAATTAGTAACCGATTTATTTGGGTCATTAGTTTGTAATTTAATCTAAAAAATTTGATATAAGCACAATTTTTTTATGGACTTTTAATCGAGATCCAAATTAATAACCAATTTATTTAGGTCAGTAATCAAGTTTTGTTATTTTCCTTTATTGTGACTAGGGTTTATTTATCTATTTTGAATTATCACTATCCCGTCTTCCGTTCCCATCTATCTCTGAGCTATGATCTTTGATTCCTCATTCTTGTTACAACACCTCACCTTCCGTCTATACTTGGAGGAAATTACGAAAAGTCTGGCCAATAAAGTTAGTCTTACGATCGAGGAAGAGGAGGGGATTGTTCTTCCGACGGCTCCGAATGAAACTACGGTTTTCGTGACGGGTTTTATTGTGGTTGATAGGGTGGTGGCTCCCAAAGGAAATATCCGGGCATACGTTGAAATCGAATCTTCTTCACCTCCTTCAACCTTCTAGGGGCATGTCTTACGAGTCCATCGGGCAGAACATATTTGTGATTTCCTTTGATCACAAAATGAACTATCATCATGCTTTGGAAGGGATTCCTTGGCTTCTAGACAAGATCGCTGTTCTCTTTGATGCACTCTCTCTGGACTCTAACCCCATAGATATAGAGGTTAACCACATGGCATTGGCATCCGTTTTCACCAGATTCCACTTCATCGGTGGCATGAGAAGACAACTCGTCTTCTAGAAAACAAGATTGGAAAGATTGTTGAAGTTTTTACCATAAATAACCGGGACTACAATGATTTTATGCGAGTGAAGGTTTGTCTTAATGTAACGAAATACTTGAAGTGAGGCCTATTTATTCACGAGGCTACCGACACCAAAACATGGATCTCATTCGCCTATGATAGTTTTCCTAAATTTTGCTTCCTTTGTGAGATCGTGGGGCATGGCAAGAAGAGATGTAAATTACATTATCGTGAAGACTTTGTGGAACCAGCGATCAGCTTCCTAACGATAGCTGGCTTAGAGCTTCCTTTCATAAGAATGACAATAGCTCGTCTGTCATTTCTTAATAATCTTGGAACTCGTCTGTATAGCTCTTCTGGCGGATCTAATATATCAGACATCGTTATCCCCACACACCAAGCAACACCTCAAGGAGTTGGCAGAGCGGGTAAGAGAATTCCCTTAGGTGGATGAGGTGAACCTAGTGAATACTATATTGGAGCAGCCTGGGATTAGTGGTTCAACATCCGCTAGATGAATTATTAAGATGGCGAGCAAAAGTAGGAAAAATAAGGTTGAGGATAACGTTACCCTCGACATTCACCCCGCAATAAAGAAACCCTATTTGGCTCTCTATGACGAAGACTTTTTGTCATCGGAGGAAGCTGTGGTGCAGCCCCACCGGTCCCAATGAGTTGTTTGTTCTGGAATTGTCAAGGGTTAGGGGGGCTCTTGACAATTCATATAATCCGAGTGATGTCCAATGGTTAAACCCCATAGTGGTGTATCTATCTGAGACGAAAGCAACATCACAGTTGATCGATAAAATCAAGTTTAAATGGAATTATTTTGGTTTTGCGGTAGATAAAGCTGGAAATTATTTTGGTTTGGTAATATTATGGAAGAAAAAAACTAGTGTTGCTCTCATAAGCTTTTCACATTATCGCATTGACGTAGAGGTACTTTGTTTGATCTTAAATAGGAAATAGCGATGTACTGAATCTTATGTACATCCGGATCATAACACACGACATTTGTCTTGGAGCTTGATGAGCCAACTTCATACTCGTACCAATTTACCATGGATCATTGGGGGAGAGTTCAATGAAATTCTTAGTAATTCTGAGAAAATTAGGGATAACCCAATGTTGCCACACCGGATAGAAGATTTCAAAAGTACTCTACAGGAGTCTAATCTTTCGGATATCGTTTTCTATGGCTATCGGTACACGTGGTCGAACAAACAGGATGAACCATTTACTGTCAGGTGTGGGCTCGACCGAGTGGGTCTGAATGGCGATTGGTCGAATCTGCTCGATCGACCATATACCAATTATTCGTCCTTCGTAGGATGTGTAATTTGAATAGGCGGCTACCGAGACTGTTTCAGTTTGAATCTATGTGGGTTCGAAGCGAAGATTGCGATGATGTTGTGAGGTAAGCTTGGGAGGAAATACGAATGTTGATCCTGTAGAAGATCTTCTTAGCAGAACTAGATCTTTTCGAGCGGCACTAATGTAATGGACGAAAACAACCAGTTGATCACCATCGGACCAGATGGAGAAAACTAAAAAGAAATGTCACTCTTTGAGCGTTTGTACTCAAACAACGAACTTCAATAAAGAGATATGTATTCTTCGAGAATCACTGGAACAATTATATGGTGATAATGATGTGTATTGGCGCTAATGTAGTAGGGTGCAATGGGTCAAGGAGGGGTATATGAATCCCAATTCTTCTATACCAAAGCTTCGGCAATGAATCATATTAACAATGTGGATACAATGAAAGATAAGTTTGGGAATTTCCAAGAGCAGGATTCGGCGATTGAGGGTGTCCGAGATTGATGAGGTGTTGGAATAATTGGAAACGATGGTGAAAAGTGAAGCTGCTAGCGACTTTCTTCTCATTTCTCGGTCGTCGAGGTAATACATGCTCTTAGTCATATGGCACCTCTTAAATCCTCAGGCCCGAATGGCCTTCATTTACTTTTATTTATGGAAATATAGGCATATTCATGATTCGAGTGTTATTTCTTATGTGGTTGATTTTCTTAATAAAAGGGGCTTGGCACTGGCCCTTAACTTTACACTATTTGTGTTGATTCCTAAAATTAAAAACCATGAACGAGTCATCGACTACAGATCTATTAGCCTTTGCGATGTTGTTTATAAACTAGGGTCTAAATTCATTGTTATTGTTATGCGCCTGAAGCGTATTCCTAAAGATACATTTCTCCTACCCAATCTGTCTTTTTTCCAAACCAACTTATAACCGATAATGTGCTAGTTGCTTATGAAGTGAATCATTACACTATAACAAATGCTAGTAATCGTATAAAACTTATGGCGGTTAAACTTCATATTAGCAAGGCATACGATCAGATTGAATGACTTTTTTTGAGACAAATTCTTATTCTTTTTGGTTTATCTTCTATTTTTTTTGTTTTTATTATGATTTGTATGTACTTCATCTCTTACTCTTTTAGGTCTAATGGTTCACAGTTCCGTTCTTTGTCTCCTTTCAGAGGTCTCTGTTTCTCTGACAAGGAGACCCCATTTTTCCCATATTTTTTCATTTGTTGTGCATAGATCTTAATTGCTATGGTGCAAAAAAAAGTTATCAGTGGAGACTTGCACGTTGTCAAAATTGCTCTGACAACGTCTATAGTCTCAAATATTTGCTTTGCGGACGACACTTTGCTAATTTTCCATGGTTGCGAAGGGGAAGCACGGACCCTTAAGGATATTCTAGATCGAATATGATCAAATTTATGACCAATAGACGAATTTCGATAAGACTAAAATGTGTTTTAGCCCATCTACTCCGTTGGAGGTCAAGGAATCTATTCATCATTTACTGCATTTCCATGTGGTGGATCGACACGACAAATATATATGTATACTGGCATTGTTGGGGAAGTCAGGAAAAGACTTCTTTCAGTTTTTTAGCGATCGTCATTGGACTAAGATTAAAGGATGGGGGAGCGTCATCTATCTCAAGCGGACAAGGATGTCTTAATTAAAGCAGTTCTTCAAGCTATTACTTCATTTGTATGAGCTATTTTGCACTACCATCAAGCTTGGATTATGATCTTGAATCAACCAGAGACGTTTATGGTGGGGTAGGGTCTCTTGGAGAAAGATAGCATGGATCTCGTGGGAAAAATACTTGCACACCAAAATCTACCGGGGGATGGGTTCTGGGGACTCGACGAAATTCAATTACGCCTTGCTCGCTAAACAAGTCTGGAGAGTGTTAACACAACCGAATATCCTACTATCTCAAAGCATTAAGGCGAGATATTTTGTACATACTGATATTACTCAAGCGGTGATTGGATCTCATATGCCGCCAACATGGAAGAGCATGCTTGAGGCTCGTCCGTATTTGTCACTAGGACTCCAAACACGTATTGGGGATGGATTCGAGATGTCTATTTGGGCCGAGCAATGGATGCGTGATGACGGAAATTTTAAGGTTCGTACGAGAAGGTTAATTACGAATTTCTTTCCAGACAAAGTAGCGGATCTCACTGATTTGAACACCCGATTGTGAAAGCTCGATATTATTAATTCGGTATTTGTCGGTGGATAAGGCACATATTTTGGTTGTTCATGTTGGTTCCCACAACTTAAGAGATCGATGGGTTTGGCATTATTCAAAGTCGGGAGGATTTACGGTCCATACATGCTATCATAATATTTTATTCCACATTCATCGATCTGTGGCAGGTCGCGGGAGGAACGGTGTGTCGCATAGCGGGATTATGGACCAACGTTAGGATGGCTTATGGATCTTTCCATCCTAACTTTTGTGGAGGTCGTGTTCGGAGATTCTCTCTACAGAAGAAGGAAAGTTTTGTATCACCGGAAAGGGCACCCTCGTCGAGCTATCCAAGATGTGGAGCGGAAACGTAGACCTACTTGCATGTGCTTCAAGAAGCAGTAACATTGGGAAAGATTGGAGTTCGTCAATTTTCTAAGTTGCGATCGGTGTATCCTCATAGTTCGATGTGGGGATGGATAAAGAAGCGAGGATCTCTGACGGAAAAAAATCTTGTTGTCCATTGTTATCTCGTGGAAGGTTTGGGATATTAGGAACAAGTTCTTGCAAGGCGAGGTTGACATGGAAGTGGCAGGTCTTATCAATTGGATCCTATCCTTTCTCGAACAATTTCAGTAAGCTACGGTGTTGCCGCCGATAACTACATGAATTAGAGCCTATCCCCTTGTTCAAAGTTCTGCTTATATGGGCTTAGATCCTCGATTTCAAATTCGAGTGGAGAGAAATACATCCCCTCGTACACTAGGGTTTACTTTGTGGCTGAGTTGTTTCTTTCTTGTGGCGGTGGGTTAAATAGTTTGGAAGTGATTTGCAAAAATATTTTTAAGCAATTGTTTATGAACTATTGTATTGATTGGCAATCATTTGTAGATAAATAACAAACACAAGGATTTTGATGTTTGTCGGTGTATATGTAGTTTCGTTGAATGTACTGCAGGGAAAAAAAAATGCCCAGGGTAGTCACGTGTAGTCGCATTTGAAAAATCCCAAATCATTAAATTCTTTTGTCTTATATAGTCATGTTCATACATTGATACTGTTCTCGGGTATTATAGTGTGTTTAGATGCTTGATTTACGCTTATTGTAGGTTTTCCATGATATAAATCCAATGGTTGATTATGCATTATTGCAACAATGAACAATAATTTGTGGATAACTAATAAAAATGGTGTATTGATTGACAATCGTTATGACTTGTATTTTTATTTTCTAGTTTACGATTGTTGTAGATTTTTGTCGAACGTAGTCCCAATAGAATTATTATAACAAATTCATTTAGCAATTTATAACTTGGAGGTAAACAAAATGAATGGATCTTACTGAACTGATAATAGTTTTCATTAAATTTATGAAAACTCATTACAATTATAAATGGAGAAAAAAGAAAAAGATAAAGTATACATGAAAAATAAACAAAACAGTGAAAAAAAAATGTTAATCAATCTCGCTCTTCATCAGGTCTAAGACATGTCTTCCTTTATGGCTTTTGGCCGCAACACTCTTGCAAGTTTGGGAATACTCCAACGTCTAAGTTGTGGGAATACGTAGGTTGCATGAGTGTTTTACGCTCATATCCAATACTACATGATAAACTGCACTTAATTCAGCGCATGGCTACATATGACTACTGAATATAACTTACATATGACTTCTATATGACTATTTAAATAAACTTGACTACTATGTGACTATTACAATAATATACTTATATATGACCGCATTTGTAATTTCACAGTCAGGATTAGTAAACGGTTAGGTTTCACAAGACTATGCACCAAATAAGCATGCCAGCAACGTGACTACATACCTAATTAATGTGAATGTCAGTCACATGAATACACATATATAATTTCAATATTATAATGGATAAATTGCTTGTTTTTTTTTCTCTCTTTTTTCTTATTATTCTCCACTTATAAACAAATTAATTCATGTGATTACATGTGAAAAAAATATTGTTAACAAGCATTAAAGAAATTCTTATCAGCATCAAATATCGAGAATCATGATATCGGTTGGAGTTGGTTTCGTTTGCGGTTAGAAATGACTTTCCTCTTCATCACCTCTATATGTGGCTATGGATATGCTTTCCCACAGTCCCGGTAGGTATCAACCCTAGATTTGTCGGCGACAACGGTGCAAAATAAAGAATATCTGGCTACTAATTTTTTTCAGTGATGGAGGAATTGTGGAATGGATAGTTTCGGTCTTGGGTGATTACAGTAGCAACTCGCTATGTGTTACGAACCGATTATTAAATCGTATTGGAATATATGGTTGTAGTATAAGCTGTTTAGTAATTTTTGTATAGCATTTAGCATTTATAAGGTTCTTGTTAAATAAAACGTGTTTTAGTTATTACGTTTTTATTAGTTTTCTTCTTTCCATTAGCACTTTTAGGTAGTTATTGTAACAACTATTTAAAGCTGATTTTGTGACCGTTGTAATAAATTTTTCCTTTTTTCTCATTTTTCATTTCTTCTTCTTTTCTCTCTGTTATTTTTCCTCTTTCAATTTTTTCTTCTGATATAAACCCTAGATTAGGGTTTTAACATGGTATCAGTTTTTCATTGATTCGATCGTAATTTTTCGTTCATACGATCGATTATCTTCTCGTTTCCGCACGATTATATTCTGTTATCTAGATCATCGTTTTTGGCTTGCAAATTCATGGCGCCGCCAGCTCGTTCTCTGTTGGATCATGTTTCGCATCCGATGTTTCTTCATCCGTCTGAGGGTCCAAATTTGATTCTGGTTTCGCAGCTTTGAACTGAAGACAATTATGCTTCGTGGTCGCGAGCTATGACGATTTCATTAACGGTGAAGAACAAAATTGGTTTTATCGATGACACGATTTTCGAGCCTGCTGCTGATGAGTTGGTTATGAGAAATGCTTGCATTCGAAATAACAGTATTGTCATGTCTTGGATTATTAATTCTGTTTCGAAGGATATTCAAGGCAGTATTATGTATTCAAATTCGTCGAAAGAAATTTGGGATGATTTGAAAACTCGGTTCTCGCAGACAAATGGTCCTCGCATTTTTCAATTGCGTCGTGATTTGGCAAATCTTACCCAAGGCAGTCAATCAGTGAATGTATATTTCACTAAAGTCAAGGCTATTTGGGATGAATTGGCGAATTATCGGCCATGTTGTTCTTGTGGCAAGTGTGACTGTGGTGGTTTTGAAAAATTACAGGCTCATTATAATCAAGAGTATGTCATGAGTTTCCTTATGGGTTTGAATGGAAGTCTTGCTTCTACTAGAGGCCAAATCATGCTCGTGGATCCGCTTCCTCCCATATCTAATGTGTTAGCGTTTATTTCTCAAGAAGAACGTCGAAGATCAGTTGTATCTTCACATGTCGATTCTTCTGGTTCTGTCTTTTCTGTCAAGAATGAGCCATTTAAGCGGTCCGTTAATAATCAGTTCTACAATCCTGGGCTCAAGAAGAAAGAGCGGAGTTTTTGCACGCATTGTAATATGCCGGGACACACGGTGGAGAAGTTCTATAAACTTCATGGATATCCTCCATCTTATAAGCAAAAATCTCGTTTTTCCTCTCATGATAATCAAGTTTCTGGTTTTGACACTCCTTTGGATCTTCATTCTTCAGATTCAGGTGTTAGCTCTCAACACATGGATAGATGTCTTCAGACTATGACTCCCTCTCAATGTCAGCAGTTTATGAATTTGTTTTCATCACACATGGCTGCTCAACAGCAACAATCTGCTGTTAATTCTGCTCAGCAACATTCTTCTGCTCAAGGAGGTGATACAACCACGGTTTCTTGTGTGACAGGTACTTGTGCTTTAACTGGTACTCCTTCTTTGTCTTCACATGATTGGATTCTTGATTCAGGAGCTTCTAAACACATTTGTCATGATAAGCCGATGTTTGTTAATCTCAGATCTGTTAGTAATTCCAGGGTTCTTTTACCTGATTCTTCTGTTTTAATTGTTTCCTATGTGGGTGATGTTCGTTTTTCTAATGATATTTTTCTTACTGGGGTCTTTTATGTACCTCAGTTCAAATTTAATCTCATTTCTGTGAGTGCTTTTCTCCAAAACAATCAATTTTTAATTGGTTTTTCTACATATAATTTTGTCATACAGGACAAGTTCTTCAAGATGATTGGCAGGGGTAGAAAGGTTGAGGAGCTTTATGTCTTGGATATACCTCATTTTCAGCATTCTCTTTCCATATATTCTTTTAATTCTGTGGTTTTTCGTAATCAATCCTCTGCCACTGTTTGGCAAAGAGGTTAGGTCATATGCCTTTTAAGAAATTGAGTTTTTTTTTAAAATGTTCTTCCAGTTTCTCTTGGTTTTTTTGCTCCTAAAGACAGCTATTGTCATGTTTGCCATGTTGCTAAACAGAAGAGGCATCATTTTCCTTCTCATAATCATGTTGCTGACCATGTTTTGATCTCATTCATTGTGATATTTGGGGTCCTTATAAAGTTCCTTCTTATAATGGTTTCAAATATTTCATTACCATTGTAGATGATTGTTCCAGGTACACATGGGTTCATTTGGTTCATTCTAAATTTGATGCTTTAGTTGTGATTCTCGTTTTATTTCTATGGTTCAAACTCAGTTTGGTAAGACCATTAAAGTTTTTCGTTCTGATAATGCTCCAGAATTATCTTTTAATCATTTGTTTGCTCATCTTGGTATTTTACATCAGTTCTCTTGTGTGCAAACTCCTCAACAGAATGCTATTGTTGAGAGAAAACATCAACATATTTTGAATATGGCTCTTTCTTTGTTTTTTGAGTCTAAAATTCCTGTTGAATATTGAAGTGATTGTGTTAGTACTGTTGTTTATCTCATTAATCGTATTCTCTCTAAGGTCTTACACAATGTTTCTCCTTACAGCATTCTTTATCCTAATTCTCCTTTTGATTATACTAGTCTTAAAGTTTTTGGTTGTCTTTCCTTTACTTCCACCTTATCTGCTGCTAGAGATAAGTTTCAGCCTAGAGCAAGGTCTTGTGCTTTTATTGGGTATCCTACTGGTGTTAAGGGTTATAAATTCTTAGATATTCACAGTAGGGAAGTGTTTTTCTCTCGAGATATGGTGTTTCATGAAGATCAGTTTCCTTTTACTAATATTCCTAATTCTTCCACTGAGTCTCTGTTTGATTCTCAGTCTGTTGTTCCTCTTTCTCAGTCTATTTCTTTATCTGTTGTGCCCATTGATCCTTATGTGGATCCCTTGCCTTCTGCTTCTTCTTCTCAGCCTAGAAGGTCTGTTAGACAGGTCAAGCCTCCTTCTTATTTAACTGATTATGCTTGTTTTGGTTTGCATAAGTCTAATTACCCCATTGCTTCTGTTTTGTCTTATAATAAGTTGTCTAATGATTATAGACAATTTGTTCTTAATATTTCTCATGATTCTGAGCCTCATACTTAAAAACAAGCTATTCAACATCCTCAATGGGTTGGTGCTATGCAAGAAGAGCTTGATGCTCTTGAAGCTAATCACACTTGGTCTGTTGTTGCTTACATTGATACTTTTTCTCCTGTTGTTAAGCTTGTTTCTGTTAAGGTTTTGCTTGCTTTAGCTGCTGTTCATGGTTGGAAACTGCATCAACTTGATGTAAATAATGCTTTTCTCAATGGAGATTTGCATGAGAAAGTCTATATGTATTTGCCTTTGGGTTATTCCAAGGCTTCTATATCTTCAGGTTCTTCTTCCCCTTTAGTTTGTAAACTACACAAGTCCTTATATGGCCTCAAACAAGCTTCCAGACAATGGAATGCAAAGTTTACAGAGGTTATTTTGAGTTTAGGTTTTATTCAATCTCAAAATGATTATTCTCTGTTTACTCGAGGTCATGGTTCTTCTTCTATTGTATTATTACTCTATGTAGATGACATAGTTATTGTTGGTCCCAGTTCTGCAAATATTTCAGGTTTCAAACAGGTTTTAAGCACTAAGTTTAAACTCAAAGATCTTGGTCCTATGAAGTATTTTTTGGGTATTGAAATAGCCAGATCTGATTCTGGTATTTCTCTTTCACAGAGACAGTATACTCTAACTCTTCTTGCAGATAGTAAGTATACACATTGTAAGCCAGTTACTTTGCCAATGGATCCTAAGTTGAAACTTTCTTCTGAAGATGGTGAATTGCTTGCAGATTCTTCAGCTTATAGAAGGCTTATTGGCAGGCTTTTGTATCTTACCATTACTCGGCCAGACATTGCTTATACAGTTCATAAGCTTAGCCAGTTTGTTTCTGCTCCTCGCACTTCTCATATGCAAGCTGTCCATCATTTATTAAGATATCTTAAAGCAGCTCGTGGTCAAGGTTTATTTTACTCATCCACTTCAAATCTTATTATCAAAGGTTTTACAAATGCTGATTGGGGCTCTTGTCTTGATACTCGAAAGTCTACCACTGGGTTTTGCATTTTTTTGGGTGATTCTTTGATCTCTTGGAAGTCCAAGAAACAGGTGACTGTTTCCAGATCCTCTGCAGAGGCAGAGTACACAGCTGTAGCTACCACTGCTAGTGAATTGGTTTGGATACTCCAATTGTTACATGATTTTCAAGTTGTGCCTCCATCCACATTGCTCTTTTGTGACAATTTGGTTGCTGTTCATATTGCTTCTAATCCAACATTTCATGAGAGGACTAAGCACATCGAGATTGATTGTCATTTTGTCAGGCAACAGGTCAAACAAAAGAAGTTCAGACTCATGCCCGTTAAAAGTTGTGACCAGCTTGCAGATCTATGCACTAAAGCATTACCTCTTCCAGCTTTTACACATTTGTTGTCCAAGATGGCTTTCCTCAACATATATGCTTGCTCAAGTCCATCTTGAGGGGGGATATTGGAATATATGGTTGTAGTATAAGCTGTTTAGTAATTTTGGTATAGCATTTAGCATTTATAAGGTTCTTGTTAAATAAAACGTGTTTTAGTTATTACGTTTTTATTAGTTTTCTTCTTTCCATTAGCACTTTTAGCTAGTTATTGTAACAACTATTTAAAGCTGATTTTGTGACCGTTGTAATAAATTTTTCCTTTTTCTCATTTTTCATCTCTTCTTATTTTCTCTCTGTTCTTTTTCCTCTTTCAAATTTTTCTTCTGATATGAACCCTAGATTAGGGTTTTAACAAATCGAATGTGACTTATGGAACGGTGGTAGAATGATGGAGAAGAAACTAAAGAGTCGATTTGGGGGAAGTTTCATCGGATATAAAGATTTTATGTGCAAATCAAGCGAAATTGTATGCACATATTTCAGGAAAAGTGAGAAATGAGGGATATGGAGCAGCATTGTTCTAATTTGTGCCAGGGGTATTGTTGGAATAAAAAAGGCCGAGGGGTATGGCAAATGAAGATCTAAGGGATGGATACATCACAATTTCTTAGCTATAAGAGGAGCTTATTGCTAATGACCCTATAAATTAATGACCTAATGAGCTAAACAAGCTCACGTATGCTATTAAAATTGGTGGTGTATGAGGAATTCAAGTAAAAATACATGTCTCTTTAGAACTAAATAAAATAAAATAATATATACTTTTAAAAAATTAATTTTATTTTTAGAAAAAAAAAAGATTGAATTGAACTCATTAGTCATTCCAATTAAATTTCTTATTTTATAGTTCAACAATAGATAAGAAATATAAGCAAAAGTAATACTATAGGAGGATTTTCTTTTTATACATACTTAATTTAATATTATTGCATGGGATAAAGTGTTGACAATAATATAATGATCGCATTGACTATTTCTAGTTAGAGCTCAATGTTTTTTTAATTAAAATTTATTATTAATAATGTACTAAATTAAACGGATTTTGGTGCAAAGGTTTAGAGAGAAAAATATTTCTAATTGCGTGCATGATTCGATCCGATAATATTAGTGTGAAATTTAACATTTCAGTTAGTGAAAATTGTATATCAGATTGTATTTAAAATTTGTTTTAAGATTTTTTAAGATTTGAATAGAATATAATAGTATGATTTTAATAACCATGGCGGAATTTATTTGGCTCATCCACTTGCGACGGCTGCCGTCAATAGCTGCCGAAGGATTTCACCTTCCTCAAGAAGCTTTGACTGTCGTCGTCTATTGACTAATAAATTATTATATTTTTTCCTAAAAAGTTAAAAACAAAATTCTGTAAAAGTCTTTTTCTTTCTCAACAAAAACAATAGAAAATGTGTTGGTGGAATAAGACCAAAATCCCAGTACCCCCAGCCCAGGTGAACAAAAAGTCAACACGCCTGTTTCCTAGATACTACCTCCTGTGTTTGGTTGTTTGGTACGCGTTCATGAAATCATTTTTTTACTTTTTCATTCCTAACACCAATCCTTCAAAAAAAGAAAAACAGAAGCATGAAATGGTAGCACGAAATGAAGTCCAGAGGCTTCTTCCGCAATCTTATGAAGCCGTTCACATCCAATTCGAGTAGAGGTGATTCTTTTATTGAAATCCGTTTCCGCAATTCTTGATTTTACGTATTTTCTGATCGAATTAATGTGTGATGGGTTGTATTCTATGGGATGTGTTTGTTTGTCTTCCAACTGTTTGATAAAAGACCCAAACGAAGTGGACTTGGAGAAAATTGCAGCGCAAGAACAAAAGGAGTTCTCTTTTGAAACCCTTGTTGCATCAACTAACAATTTTCATCCCACTCTCAAACTTGGTGAAGGGGGCTTCGGCCCTGTTTACAAGGTATAAAAATTGAGTCTTGATTGACAGTTCTACTAGGTTATGGGCTTTTGAATTTTTTTTTTTTTATTATTTTTTTTTCTGGAAACATAGAAATGAAATTCATATTGGTGTATGAAGAATAGGGTTGGTGAGAAAGAAAATTGTATATTGATCAAATCAAGAACTAAAATGTTGAATAAGATTGTGAATTGGGTTGTTTGTATGTGGAATTTTTTATTACAGGGAAAATTGGATGATGGGAGAGAAATAGCGGTGAAGAAACTGTCACAGAGCTCGGCGCAGGGGAAGAAAGAGTTTCAGAGTGAGTCGAAGCTGCTGGCTCGTGTGCAGCACAGAAATGTCGTAAATTTGTTTGGATATTGTTTACACGGTGCAGAAAAGCTGCTTGTTTATCAATATGTGGCTAACGAGAGCCTTGACAAGCTTCTCTTCAGTAAGTTCTCTCGTGTTTTATTTAGCCATTTATGCCCTTTGTTACAGTTCAGTTTCTGTTGATCATTTATTCTCAAGATCTGGATTAAGAAGGTTTCTGTCAACCGGTGAATACAAACTCGAGTGTATTTGTGGATTTTAGTTATCCTTTTACAGATCGACTCAAGTAAGCGAACATGCAAAGTTATGTATTATTTGTATAAAGAAACCATTGCTATAGAATAGTGAAGCTTGAATTGCAAATCGTATCCATATTGGGCTCGTTGATTGAATCACTCGAATTTGGTCGGACATGCAGAATCAGATAAGAATAAAGCACTTTGCATCTTTTAATCATGTTAACTCAAATGAACTTTTGACAGAATCAGATACTTCGATAGTCTTTGCTCACTCATCGATCTCTTGATAATCAGTCGGCCTCGTCATTCCATTTTCGTAGATTGATTCATAAGGCAGTAGTGGTGTTTTTAAATAAGCTTCAGTCATGCAATCGCCTAACGGCAAAAAACTATCGAGGTTCTTGCGAGAACTTAATAATGCTGCACTCTAGTGTTTCGACAAGCGCGATTGGTCTACACACTTTCAAAAGTTCTGAAGTAATGTTTTCTGAAATTACCGTGAAATAACAAATTTGCTGAAATATACTCGTTATGCATGAAAAGTTTTCCGGAAGATGAACCTAAAGAACCCTGTTTTGAAACTTATGTGGCATCAAGATTAGGTAATTTTGACACTTTATTTTTTTTTTGTTTGTTGGTTTAGAGTCTGAGAAACGAGAAGTGCTTGATTGGAAGAGAAGGTACGAAGTGATAAAGGGGGTTGCTAAAGGTTTGCTTTATCTACATGAAGAGGCTCCGTGTCGAATAATCCATCGAGATATAAAAGCTAGCAATATTCTACTCGATGATAAGTGGGTCCCGAAGATCTCTGATTTCGGCATGGCTCGTCTCTTTCCTGAAGATGCAACGCATGTTAACACCCGTGCAGCCGGAACCAAGTATGTAAATAAATAAATAAATCAAAGTTCAGTTTTATTTTTGGCCGAGTGGCAGAGTTATTGATGAATATAATATATACCAGCGGCTATATGGCACCAGAATATCTAATGTATGGCCATCTTTCGGAGAAGGCAGACGTATTCAGCTTTGGGGTTGTCGTTCTTGAGCTGATTAGCGGTCAGAAAAATTCAAAATTTAACCGAGATCCCGACTCGCGTAACCTGCTCGAGTGGGTAAGAAATTGTTTTGTTCGGTAAAATATGTTGTTATATTCTAAAATCTAAAGGACCTTATGCAATCAAAGTAATTTCACTTGCAAATAAATTATAGGGAAAATTGCACATCAACCCCAGTAAATTTTTAATTTTCGCAGTTTACCCCCTAAATTTTTTTAAAAGTGAATGCCCCCCTTCAAAATGTTATTCTTGTTGCACATTCCCCCATAGCAAAACTCCGATGGATTATTCATCGGAATTGAGTGTTTTTGTTGCACGTTGCCCCTTTAAATGTTATTTTTGTTGCGCTTTACCCCTTAAAAAAACTATTTTATTGCACGTTGCCACTTTAAAATGTTATTTTTGTTGCACAATGTCCTCCAAAAATTGGATTCTGGGGCGAAGTGCAACCAAAATAATATTTCGAAGGGGTATCCCTTTTTTGAATTTCTAGGGAGGAGGGAAAGTGCGAAAATGGGAAATTTTAGGTGGTGAAGTGCATTTTGTCCTAAATTAATTATATATTGACCATCTAAAAGTCTATGATATAAGTGGCATCCCATAATATTTTCTGTGATTTTCAATATACCACTAATTTCGAAAAACCCATGAGCATGTCAATAAACAGTTCCATACGTTATTCGGGGTTTATTGTAAGTATCAAAATACTCCCCGTGTTATAAATATTAGCAAAATACCCCCTGATTTAGAGGGTTGTGTGCTGCAAAAAAATGCATGATGGGGTTTTTCTCTAATATTTATAACATGAGGATTCTTTAAGCAATTCGGTACTAAGTACAATAAACTCTACGTTATTTCTCACAATCCAATTATCCGTTTATAAAATTGCAGGCGTACAAGCTATACAAGAAAGAAAGGAGTTTGGAAATTATGGATCCTACGCTGACATCATCAGCAGATGCGGAGCAAATAGCAATGTGCATACAAATAGGGTTGCTCTGCGTGCAGTCCGATCCGAAATCACGGCCAGAAATGAGTCGTGTGGTTCTTATAGTGTCAAAGAAGCCGGGCCCACTAGAAGATCCTATGAGACCCGGATATCCTGGTTCTAGATACAGAAAGCCACCTCGTCCCACGATTTCATCGTCCAATACATCTGTCTTATCGAATTCGAATTCAGAGTCGTTTGGTTCGACTAATGTTACACTAACTGCAAGTACATCAGGTCTTACGAGTCCCGGATTAGATACCCGTGGTAAGGGTTTTATGGAGTACTAGGAGATTATTCTTTCGTTCATATACATACATACACCTTAGGGTTTTCTTCTTTTTTTTTTTCTTTTTCTTTTTCTTTTATTAATTTAACTTGTTAATAGATTTTGTTGTCGGATGAAAATATATGTATTTAGAGAAAATTGAAGGTAGATAAATGTCTAGTCGATAATTATGTAGACTCGCGTATTCAGGCGAACGCGAAGACAACTTTTATATAGACAACACCAAGTTCACTAATTTACCTGTTAATTGTTAGTTATTTGTTTGTTGATTTTAGTTGTAATGAGGATGTAATGATTGTTCAAATACTTTTTTTTAGAATAAATTGATGAATGTTACTGGTATTTAAATTTAAGGAAATTTATACCTCATTTAATTATTAGTATTATATTTTGGGTCATGTTGCAACACAATTAGGGGTGTGTACGGTCCGATTTTGGAGGCACGTGTTCTAGTATTTGTAATACTTCAATAATGTTAAATCATAACCAAACTCGAAAATATGTTGAAACACGTTCACGTTTGCTTGGTACATCGAGTTTTAGGAATATATTGGTTGGTTGGCCAATTACGTTTATGTAGTATTTTTGGGGAGTGGGTTTGTAGTATCAATTGTTATGAATATTGATGTTTTCCTATATTTTACTATATTAGTGTAAATTAAAATATTTATTTATTACTTTTTATCGTCATATATCAAATTAATGGGATCCTTTTTTACTTTTCAAATGATATCACCTGCATAGCATGGCGAAAAATTGTTAGTTGTAATAAAATGAAATAAAGATTTTCCGATTTTTTACAGTCAATTATTATTTAATTATAAACTAATTTTAAATTATGTTATGAGGTTATTAATATTTATGCTAATTCATGTTACTTGTAAACAATTCATAATTTTTTAAAATTATTTTATTTATATAAAAAATATAAATAAATAAATAAAATTAAAGCAACTCTCATCGTGCATTATAAACTACTAGGTGAGATAGCATAATCTGAAAACTAAATTAATTAAAATTTATATTTGTTTTACTAAGTAAATATATAAATTTTGATAATTTCATTATTTAAATCTTTTTGTTAATAATTAATATTTTACAATATTTTAAGATTGAAAGAGCCATTTAGGGAGTGTTATAAGTGGGCCCGGAGCCACCGGCAAGGGTGGGCTCCAGCCCACTGTGGAATTCAATATTTTATACATATATATAGCCCATATATTTATAGCCCACTTAGATATTTAAAATTAGCCCATCCACCACAAAGTCCAAATTGAGTTTTTTAGAATTAATAGTATTTTATGTGAATTAATTGAGAAAAAAAAATCGGGAGCGCTGCCCCCGAACCTCCGTAAATTATAAGTCTACCCTGATTCGAATTCCTTGCTCCGCCACAGAGTGGGCCCCATTATTTTCAGAGAGGAGCAATGTTATGAAAACCAGACCGGACATTAACCCGGACAAGCTACGGGTTACTATTGGACCGGTTGCATCGGGATCCAACCGGTTTTTTTATTTTTTATTTTATAGTTATTTTTATGAAAAATATAACATATTTTCTTTCACACACATTAACTCATTACTCATTTCCATTTGAAACGTAAATCAAACATATTTTTCTTTTACACAAACAACATATCAACATACACATACACAGCGAATCATTTCAAATATTATAAAAATTAATATATAAAATAATATGTCTTCCAGTTTCAATTTTTTTCTTATTTTGATTTAATTTTTTTCAATTGGGAATTAAAAAGACGTTATTTTAGGCATTTTATTTATTTATTTAGAAAACAAGAAGACACTTTTTGGGAAGATAACTCGATTTTGACTCGGATTCCGATATTACAGTTCAACTGGTCAAACTGAACCGGACATGACAATGATTCACGATTTAACCGGTTCAACCGGCCGGTCCGATCCAAGTTTCAAAACACTGAAGAGGAGTCAAAAATGATGCAAATGAGTATGTGGCACGTGTAGAGAGCACCGTACCTAGTAATGCCCAAAATTCGGGCTAGGCCCGTCGGCCGCGACCCACCTGCTGCCCAGGCCCGTGAAGCCCGCTCACAGCAAGCCCTTAGATTTAGCCCGCCCAGCCCAGCAATATAAGTCTATGGGCTGGGCATCAGTTTTAGTCCGTGGGCTGGGCACCCTTGGCCTGTAGCGGGCTCGTGGGCCGCCCGCCATTGGCCCAATTTTTTTTCTCATTGCCCATTGCCCAAGAAGGCAAGAATTAAAAAAATCCGTTTTGCACTCTCTCTCTCTCTCTCTTTTTTTTTTCTTATTTCCTAGAAAAGAGCTGTAACTTTTTACAGAAAATCCAACTACTCTTTCTGCACCCCCAACAGCTCTTTTCTCTTCTAACAGCTCTTTTTTTGGGTGGGGGGGCTTCTTATTTAATCTATAAATATCAATAAATTCTCAAATATTTCCACACAATTCAATCAACTCCCATCTATTCTCTATTGTCAATTTGACATTATCCCAAAGCTCTCTCTAATTTGCTCTAGTTTTCTCTTTGATTTCAAAATATTTTCCACCATATCTCTAGAATCTCTACAATATTTTCTATACATCCGAAGAAGAGGTTGGAAGGAATTGAAGAAAATCGAGGGAGAAACGACACTCCAGAAGGGGATTGTTTTTCAATTTCTTCAAACCAAGATTCAATTTCTCCAAATTGGGTAACTTATTTCTTCTTCAGTTTATTTCGAATTATTTTAAAAAATTATTGTTGTTTACTTTAACTATATCATGCTTTGCTATTTGTGAAAATATATTGTTAATTATTTGCAAAATTAATTTTTTATTTTAGTTTTTATTTGAAAAATATGGATTGGAATATCAGCCCCCCTAACCCCGTTAATGATACAGTCGGAATAGATGGTCATGATAGTTTAATTGCTCTGCTTAACGAATCTATGAATTATGAGCATCATACCGATTATGTTCCTGAACCAACTCCCCCTTATACCGATTTTGATTATGAAACAACTCCTTATTGCTCTAAGCCAGTCCCGATTATAGATGATGATGAAGAGGATGATAATAATGATTATGATGATGATGTTTAATATAAGGGTACAAAACCTAGTGCTAGTAGTAATCTCACCCCATCGATGTCTAAAGGAAAAATGAAGGGTAAAACTAATGAATCAAGAGAAACAAAAAGAACTTACATTTGGTTAGAATATTTTAGAATTTCTAAGGATGTTAAAACCGGTAATGATGTGGTCGAGCGTAAAAAATGCAAACATGTTTTATTTGCTAAAGCCAATGCGGGGACTAGTCATCTTAGACGACATGCCGAAAAACACTTGAAGGACATGCAAAATTCTACGACACAAACTCAACTTAGTGACTCCGGTTTCACATCTCACCGAAAGATTGAGAGATCCGAAATTGTTAGGTACATTATACACAAGGGAGATTCTTTCTCTACGCCTAGTCATCCCGCGTTTGTTAGGTTAATGCGACATGCTAATGGCCATTATGATCCACACTCTAGACCAACAATTACTAGGGATTCATACAAGGAATTTGAAAATTTTAGACAACCATTAATAGATGAGCTTTCCACTTTAAAGTGTAAAATCGCACTTACATCGGATGTTTGGACTCCGAGACATAATAATGAGCATCGGTATGTATGTATAACGGCACATTGGATCGATGATAATTGGGTCCTTCAAAAAAGGATAACTAGTTTTAGAACTTGTGAATTTCCTCATACCGGTAGTCAACTTTATTTGCATATTATTGGTATTTTGAATGATTATAATATTGTTCGAAAGATATCGACAATTTGTTTTGATAATGCCACCAACAACACCGCTTCGGTTAAATTGCTACCTAGACATATTAAACCTCCTTTAGACGGTAAACTTTTTCATGTTAAATGCGCTTGTCATATTTTTAATTTGTGTGTTCACGATTGTCTTAAGGTACTTTCTCCTTCGATTTCGAAAGTGAGAAATTCGGTATGATATATTACATAATCGGGACAAAGAATGTAATTATCTAAAGAATTGTGTAAAGCATATGGTGTTAAATTTAAGAGGCCAATTAATGATGATGATATTAGGTGGAATTCTACTTATTTGATGCTTGGTAGGGCTTTAGAATTAAAGGATTCCGTTATAGAATTTTATAAAGCCCAAAAATTACTACAGTTTGTATTGAAGATGATTGGGCTATAGCGGCGAGAATTAAAGACATGTTAGAACCTTGGTATAAAACAACACTAAATTGTTCCGGTATGTTGTATCCCACTTCTAACATGTTACCTATAGAATTGTGGCAACTTAGTCAAAGTATAGCAAACTATAGAAAAGACAAGGCTTTTGGGATAGAGGTAGTCGAAATGGAAGACAAATATATTAAGTATTATGAAGATATCCAACTATTATCTTTGCTTGCTGTAGTTATTGATCCTAGAGTTAAACTTACAAAGTTACAAACTTTACTCAAAGGATACTATACACACATGTGTTCCGAATCGTCCCCATCGAAAGTAGCCGGCACCGCAATGAGAAAATACGAGAAAGTTGAAAAAATATTGTATAGCTTGTACGAGGAGTATTATAAGGTTTTTGGTACAAACATTTCAATTTCATCTTCTAACCAATCTAGTTCAAAAAAAATTCGCAAATCTACTTGGAGCTTGTTAGAGGAAGATGATGTGCATAGTAGTGGAACTAATGAACTAGTTCGTTATTTAGAATTTCGAAGTTACCATAACACCCCGGAAGAATATGAATCCTTAGATATTTTGAAGTGGTGGCACGAAAATGCTTACTATTATCCTGTTGTTTCTATGATGGCACGTGATATACTAAACACTCCGGTGTCCACGGTAGCATTGGAGGCGGCTTTTAGTGCAGGTGGAAAAATTTTAACTGCCGAGAGAAATAGACTATCACCAAGGAATGTGGAGGTATTGGTTTGCACGCAAGATTGGATTGAAGCCGAATTATGAAATCAAGAACGGAGTCAACAACAAAACAACTAAGGCAAAGATGACGATAGTCCCGATGAATATGACATACGTGGGGAATTTAGCGGTGAAGGTTAATGAAGGCCAACTACAACAAATTTGAAGATTAGTTTAAGAATTCTAAAGGACAATTTGAAGAGCATATTGAAAGGAAAAAAGAATCAAGAACTTTAAAAAGAATTCCTTGTAATTTTCCTATATTTCTTTCTATTTTTCTTCTGTTACTTTGCTTATGTTACATTTGATTCAATAAACTTATAAAATATTTTGCTTCTGTTTGTTTTCCTCTTATTTTACTTCTGTTAGTTTTATGAGTTTATTTTTATTACTAATAAAATATCAAAAAATACTTTAATAAATATGTATCT